GACTTCAATGGATAGATTTCCTGAGTCCAAGGTTCCAGGTCAGCACCTGTCTTCTCTCTGCAGCTTTGGAGCTCACCTGGCTGCCTGTCGATCCAGTGAAGGCCATGCCAAGGAAATGACTTCCCTTCCTACTGCTTACCTTTTTGTTTCCACAGGAAGGAGCCCCAGACAGAAAAGCCCATTCAGGAGCATACACATGAAATGCCCAAAGAGCACATCCCTGAAGAGGGCCAGAGGGACTGGAGCTTGAGTGCCAGGCCCAAATCTGCAACCAGCAAAGCTGTGTGACTGTAAGGCAAGCCACTTGACCTCTCTGTTTCTCTCCTTTCACTTCAAAATGGAGAGGATAGTCAGTTAAGTGTGGGTGGGCTGACATCAGGAGGCCTGACTTGGAATCCAAATTCTAACCTTTACCTGCAGCAACCATTTAGATTGTTCTTAGCATAACCCAGTTATATAAACTCAGTATTCACATTGGTAAAGTGAACAATGTTACCTATTTCAGAAACTGTTGGGAAGGTTAGTAGCTATTTTATATTGAATATATATATTTTAAGACAGTGCCAGATACCCATAAATGAATTGTTATTATTATTATTATTGTAATATTTTCCTTTTTAAAGATAATAAAGGAATGCTACCCCCAGGCCACCCAGGGTGCTCATGATGATCCCCTGAACATGAATGGAGGGGAGAAAAAAAAAGGCTTAGAGGAATTCGGTAGGCAATTGGTCTTTTCTGACCTTTTTGTTTTCACTCTGACAGGAAATTCCTTCTTACTTCAGCACCAGTCACCCAGCCTTGTGCCCCAGATGACTGCTTTCCATGACAAAAGGCCAGGCCACTTTGGCGTCCAGGTCTCTACCCCAAAACCCAGCAAGTCTTGGCTTTAAGAAACTACCAAAATATATATCTATATCTATATATATATCTATATAGATATATATATATCTATATATATAAAACAACTTCAAAGCTTTAGCTGCTAGAGAGCTCAGGAAAACAACTAGCTGGACTTTGGAAATCCACACTCCTTCCAAGGCCTCTTTTGAGAAGGAAAGCAGTTTCTGAGATTCCTCTGAAGTCCAGAGGCCAAAATGAAGTCCTAAAGCTGACCCAGTTTGCTGTGGGAGGGCCTTGTGAATGCCCTTGAGGGCTGGGGGAGGAGAGAGGGTGCAAAGTTACAGTTTACAAGCCTCTAGGCTCATAGATGCTTTCTTCAGTAAGTTCGAGAATTGGGGCAAAGGATTTATAAGAATCAAGAAGAAAACTAAAAACTTGATTAATTTTACAAATTTTCCTTTGCCCTTTTCTTATTCTGGAAGGTATACAAGTTCTAGAAGCGCAAAAGAGAACTGCTTTAAAGTTATATATGATATGTGCCGGCCCTCTTTAGCCTCAGCCTGGGCTGCAATTTGACAACAGCCTCTAGTTTCCAGGGAAAGAAGGGTACCTAATTGTAGTGCCTTGGATTCATCACATTTTTAGCTCAGCACCATCCTGAATGCTTAAATCTAGTATAGATTCAGAATTTCTGACCTGGTTTCCAATCTGAAAATGTCCCATACACAGGAAATTGATGCCAATTGATTTGATGAGCACAAGCAGCTTCATCCCTTCCCCTTTAATCCAATACCATTTCCTTGATGGAGACTTGCCCATAATAGCTTCCTCAGCCTTGGAAGTGGGAACTAAACTACCATGCTGCCCTTTGCTGTTCTTCTAATGAGTGGATTCTTCTCTTCACCTTTGTTCTCATAAGTGCCAGTGCTGTGGCACTTAGTACCAACCACCCAGATTCAGGTCCTGCCAAATACAGATTAATCATGCTCTTTTAGTGAATCCAGGAAATCCTCATGCCTGCCCCAGCCCCCTATAACCTGGATAGTTTGTTAAGTCAGAACTATTGCCAGCCTGTTTCTGTCACTTACAGAAATAGATGCCAAGAAGGCTTCCCTTCTACCATAAAAATCTGTAACCAGTAACGCACTATGTATTCTTCCATGTGACAGCGCCACCAGTAGTTCTCAGCTCTGAGAAATGCCTCCATTACTGAATTGCTCGACTGATCTTCTTTAGGAGAAACTGTCCTACACCTGAAATCCAAAAGCCTAATTCATTCAGGGTTCAACTAATGGCACCAGGGCTTTGTATGAGGGAGTGTCGTGCTATATCCTCACTGGCAAATTGTTGGTTTTGATCTGGATCATGGTAATCAAGCAAGCTTAAATTTACCCCCAGGGGCTTTTGCCCATATCTGGAGAGACTATTGCTTGTTACACAAGACCAGGGAGTGGGGCAGGGGGAGTTCTGTCATCTAATGAGCAGAAACCAGGAATGCTGTTAAACATCTTGTGATACACAGGACAACTTCTACAACAAATTATCTAGTCACAAGTAGCAACAATGCTGATGCCGAGAAATTCCAGTCTAGACTGACTTCCAGGTTTCATCTAGATGAAGTCAAGTACAGCAGTTTCCAAGCAATTTCCTTGAAAATGATGGGCTGCCTGTAAAACCAGTGAGGACAATACCCAAAGGTGCAGCTTTCCACGGAGAATGGCCAGCTGGTAAAGACTCCGCGGCACTGTCTTGTCTTGGAACACTCTGTACACTGAAGCTGTTTGATCTAAATAACAATACCATTATTCTGTCCCTAGTAATGGTTTCACTCCAGCCCTTTCAAATATAGGAAGATGGTACAAATACAATACAAATCAGTCACTCCCTTAAATTCCTGTGGTGGCTTCAGTGCCTGGCCACCTCTCTGCATTGGAAGACTCGAAAGAGAAAAACAGTAACACCTAAAAGTAGCCAGAAGTCATCCCACTCAGTTTATTTCATGTGATTCTCAGCATGCAGTGAGCATTCTTGGGGAAAAAATGTCTTTCCCAGTTCACATTATAAATTAATTTACAAACATAGACTTGTGTTAGAAACAATATTTATAAAAGTCCATATGATTTTTCACATAGAAAAATATACATAGAAATTGTTTTTTGGTTTTTGTTTTTTTTTTTTTTGGTATACACAATATGGGGATAGGTAGTTTCTTTGGCTGATTTTCTGCATAACATTTAAGAAGTAATGGTGATATTTATACTTCAATGAACTATTAATGCTTTCTGTATGTATACTTAGAAGTAAGATCTCAGTAGGAATGCAGTGAGTCTCAAAAAAAAGAATATATGGGGGAAAAGTTAAAAATGTATATAAATGTACTCGTGTTCATTTTTCTAAAATAATTCAAATCCCAAACAAGCAACGTTCATATCCAACTACATGATACATTTTGTATAGGTTATTATCTTTGTCATCAAAGAACTCTGTTCCAATAAACTGACAGCTCTACAAATGTTAATGCTTTTTGATAAGTTCTCTGAGAAACAGTGGCTGAGTGTGCCATGCACCAAGTGTTCTGCAGGGCATCAGGTGATCACAAAATTATTCAAGTGGAGATACACCTGTAAGAAGTAGAAATGCTAAAAATATTTTTAAAATTTATCCACAGTTTAAAAACTTTATAAAAAATTTCCATTTAAAACCTATTTTAAAATTCTGGTAACTTGTTTTAAAAGTGAAAAATCCAGAACACGGGATCAAAGGGATAGGACACCAGGCTAGCTGAGAAATGGTCCCCCCAAGCCTCAGGAACATGACAGCTGAAGGCAGAGAGTGTGGCCCTCGTTGCTATGGGGTGGGGGGGAGGCTTTTCAAGCAGGATCTTTGGTCACATGGGATCACGCTCATTTCTGCCTACAGAGAGGCTGCTGCCTTTGTTTTGTGTTTTCAGGAACTAGAACACAGAGCTTCCTGGCTCTGGAGCCAGACTAACTGGATGTGATTCAGGCTCCATGACTGTGTGGCCTAAGGCAAGTTACCTAACATCTTGGGGTCTCACTGTCCTCGTATGAAACATGAGGAATAGCTATACCTATCTCCCAAGGTTTCTGAGAGGATTAAATAAGTTAATACATGTAAGTGTCTGTAACAGCACCTGGCACACAGGGCTTGCCTGGGCAGTTTTACTACCATTGGGATCCACCAGGTAGCTGATGTTGGGCATAAGTAGAGGAGAAATTGTGAGCTGGATATATACAGCTCGAGGACCTTGTGTTTCTAGTACAGCCATTATGTCACTACCCACGGGGATACCTTCTAAGAAATGCTTTACTGTCCAAACTCACAAGAGCGGTAGACGCTGCTAGCTTAGGGGCCACAATGGGCAAAACAACAGAGTAAATCAAATACAAAGGTGGGGAGGGATACTATCAAGAGATGAAATAAACAGGAGATGTTACCATATCAGCGAGCAACAGGAAATGGAATCATCATCATATACATGGCCCATCATTGACCACAGAGTTCGGCAGAGCATGGCTGTATAGTATTTTCCAAACTCTGGAGGCAAAGAACACAAATGGAAGTGTCCTATAAAAATTGAGATATCTGACAATATAATAAACCAATGTTACTTCAATTTAAAAAAACAATCCAGGTATCTGACCTTTCTAGAAAAATCCAAAAGCTGCCAGGCAGGATATCACTAGCTTAACTTAACTGCCTATAGCAGCAGCATTAGCCAGTCTCAACTGCACCCTAATGCCAACTGACCTTTTTCCTATCGAATAACTTCATGCACTTAGTTTTTTTCATAAGCCGGCCCTGGACATGTTTGAGCTTGGCAACCCCGATACACAGCAATGAGTTAAAACAGACACGGTCCCCTCTCCTCATAGGACTCACAGTACTATCCCAGAAAGTGGGGTGGACTCTCTCCAGGAAGACCCTCATCCAGAGAAACCTCTAAAAGCCTGCTGGGCTGTGAAGAGAATAATCTACCATGCCCACGGGACCCTCAGCTACACAGTGGACCGTGAGCTCACCCATAAGCTCCAGAGAAATGCAGAGCCTCAGTGCCTACCCCAGACCTACTGCCTTGGAAACTGCATTTTGTCCAAATCTGAGGTGTGCGTATTCAAAGTCTGAGCCGCAGCGCCCTATACCTCGGAGCCTTCCCGGGGGTAGATGAGGCTGTTGACCATGCTGAAGTTGTAGAAAGGGCTGCTGAAGTGACCGCCTTGCCCCCCACTGTTGCTGGCAGGGAAAGGGTTGTAATAGGAAGATCTCTGGCCGGAGCTGGTGCTGTTGCTGGTGGCACTCAGCTGCAATGTGTCTGGCGAGGCCTCTGAGATGGAGCCGGGGGAGAACGTGCTGCTAGAAGGCAGCTGGGCCCCCTGAAGCCCTAGGTGGCGGCTGCCAGGGAGGGTGCGCTGGGTGCTCCCACTGCTGCTGACGCTTAAGGTGCTGAGGGTACTGAAGAAGGTGTTGAGGCACGGGGCGGAGCTGAGCATGGACCCTCCAGGGGAGGAGGAAGTACTCTTGGCGCCCTCGGGAGGCTCTGGGGACTGGGATGGCCTCAGCAAAGAGGAGGGGCTGTCTCCTTCCGGCTTCCCACCCACTCCAGACCCCAATCCTTCTTCTGATTTAGATGTCCCCGTGGTCACAGCGGAGCTGCTACTGGCCTCAGAGCGGCGCTTTCTCTTCCGACGGAAGTTCCCATTGTCGAACATTTTTTCACAGTTGGGATCCAGGGTCCAGTAATTGCCCTTTCCTAGGGAAATGAGAAAAGTAAGTTAGAGAAAGACCAAGTTATGTCCATGTCTCCAGCTTCATGTGTTCACTAATCCATGTATTCAGGAGAGCAGACTCTTGTTGAAAGCTGACACAGATGTTCAGTTTACCCTACCATCTAAATATATCCTTTTGGGACATTTTATTCATCTTTAAGGGGAAATCTGGAAAAAACATGTTTGGTGATTTCCACCTTCTAGCCATGTCTGTTACTGGCTACTGCACCGTCTCCTGCTACTATCTGCTACTTGAATCTTAAGACCAAATCCTAGCTCCCTTTTAGATCCCAAGTGTGTGCACTTGTGAAACCATAGAATTTTGATGCTACTTCAACATGAGCCTCCATTTCTTCACTTAATATAAGAATAAAAATAGTACCTATATCACAGACTGGCTGTGAGGGTTAAATGATAACTCTGCATAGTAGCATGCGTAGAAAAACAGTATGTCATCATCGTTTTCACTAAAAGGATACAAGTCTCAGTCCCTCCAACCTCCCCCAAAAATACGTCCCAAAAAAATCAACTTTAAATACCTAATCTTCCAATAACTTTTACTGAGCAGTTGATTATTTTAACACTACCTGGGATGGCATTTATTTGGTACACAAGCTACTTCCTGGAATCTACTTATATTCCCTTCTCATCTTAGGCTGATGGAGCCTCTGCATTTCTTCCAAGCTTTACCTCCAGTGGGCAAATCTCACAGATCATTTAATGCCTGCAATACTGGTGTCTGCTTAGAAAATTCCCCTCACTCTCTACCGTAATTGAGGTAGGAAAGATCTAGCATCTTGGTGATCTTATTTCCCAACAGCTTTTTTTTCATTTCTGAAAATAAACTGTGGTATTTAAAAATAGTTAAAAATGTACGGTATACTGAGCCTTTACCTGGATAATCTCAGTTACTTCTCACAACTTTCAGATGGAGAAACTGAGCTATGCACAGGCTAGTAATCAGCCACAGTCCCAGAGCCAGGACTGAAGCAGCTGGCTCCAGACTCAGAATTCTTAAGTAACCACTGAGTTACGCTGGCTGGACAAACTAGCACATACATCTCCACATCCATTTTCTCCCCTGTCATGTTTTCTGCAACTAGATGGAGGAGGGAGAAAATATATTCATGTAACTACTATTTAGATAGCAATACCTGCAGCTCTGTGCTATTCATATTGGGCTACCTCAGTACTAAGTGTTTTGATGTGACATAGCAATAACAGATCCTTGAACTTTCGACAAAGTCCTGAGGATATACATGACAAATTACAAGTGATTCTCAGGTGACTCAGAAGTCAAATCAAGATGATACATCTTTTAGAACCTATACCGCGTCCAAACAGCCGGTAGCCCGCGTGTGGCTGCTGCAACTTGAATGCACGTGGCTAGTCCATACTGAGATGTGGGATAAAATCAGAGAGGATTTTGGAGATTTAACACCCAAAGGACAATGGCAACTATCTCAGTAATCGACTTTATTATAGCTTGAAGCAATATTGGGTTTCTCCAGAGAAACTTAAAATACTTTTTGCCAGTTTTTATACATTTTTTCCTTTTCATTTTTTAATGTAGTTACTAGAAAATTTACAATCACAAGTGGTCTGTACTGTATTTTAGTGACAAGCAGTGTCCTGGAATGACTTCAGGTACCAGCTCATTCTGCATTCCAGAGTATTTACATAACTTACACAAAAGCCTGCATCTCTGAAATGAAATAAAATGGCTTTATTTCTCTTTTCTCGCACCCAGTTCTGTCTGTCTCTCTTGTCCCAGGCTTCTTCTGAAAATAAATGTCTAACTCTTTTGTCTGTCTCCACTTCTCAGGCAATAGAGAAACCACCACCTACAATCCATTGTAACCCAACGCTCCTCACCTCAGACCTTATGGAATCATATTTGGGGGTTCCATTTTTACCTTTCTCACTAGTTATAAAGAACTTTGCAAGACTAAGCCGAAATTCTCCCAATCCTCTGCCCATCTCATAATGCCCGTGGGCTATCCTCAAATCATCTCTCCAGGCAGACACTGTACTAATTTCAAGGACACAGGATTCTTACTAACCTGATGCAGAAGAAGTGCGCCCATGGACAGCTTTTCCTCTCACTACCTTTTCCGGATTTTCTGCGGTTCTGAATCCTTCTCAGTCATCCACCTGAGAGCTCACTGGGTTCTCCTTCCTAACCTACCTCCCTGTAACATGACCCTCCCGTTCAAAAGGCTGCTGAACGCGCCGTCCTCCTCCCGAAGATCCTGATGATACTCTTCTCTTTGTCCTCTGGGCTTCCCTCACCCCAATCGGTTGAGATTCGGGTGAATCTCATTCTCAGTTAGAATGAGGAGATTCCGCGTGGTTCTTCAAGTCAGCCACACTCTGGCCACCCCCACCCCCGCCCACGCCCCCCGCACTCGCCCGGGAAGCACCTGCCTGGCGTACTCACCTGGGTCGTCCTCGTCACGGGGCACTTTCTTGAAACAGTCGTTGAGCGACAGGTTGTGACGAATAGAGTTCTGCCAGCCGGCCTTGCTGCGCTGGTAGAACGGGAAGCTGTCGGCGACGAACTGGTAGATGTGGCTGAGCGTGAGCTTGCGCTCGGGCGCACTCTGGATGGCCATGGCGATGAGCGCCGAGTACGAATAGGGCGGCCGCACCATCTTCATCAGGTCCTCGCGGCTGGCCATGGAGAGCCAGCCCAGCTCCCCGGGAGCAGCGGGCCCGGCGGGCGAGGCGGGCGTGCCTGGCGCCGATTGCGCGAAGGACCTCTGCGCGCAGGCGAAGGTGCCAGCTGCGGTGGGCGGCTGCAGGAAGGGCCCGGCCGCACCCCCGGGGGGTGGCGGCGGCGGGGCGCTCAGGTACGCGGCGGCGGTGGCGGTGGACGGCGCGCCCACTCCCGGCCCATTGAGCCACAGGTAGGGGTTGGCGGCAGCGGCCGGCGGCGCGGCATAGTCGGTGAGCCCGTAGGGCGCCCTGGCCGCCGTGGGGGCACCCGGGGCGGCAGCGGCGTTGGGAGGGGGCAGGCCGGGCTGCGAGTACACGCCGAAATTGTCGCCGCAGTAAAGAGCCATGTCGGTGACCGTCGGCGGATGCGGCGCGGCGGCGGCGAGGGGAGAGCGGGGCTGGTCTCGCCGCTCGGGCGAGAGCATCCCTTTGGGGGCCAACCCTTTGGCCCCAACTCGGCCAGAGCTCGGCGATCGGGGTTGTGACGGGCGGGTCGGCGGGTGCGCGCGAAGCCACGGCTAGTCGGCCTCTTATACCCGTCTGCAGCCCGGCTCCTCCCGGCCCGGCCCGGGGCTGGGCGGTGGCCCGCAGGCCCCGGCTCTCCACGCCCCCGCCACGCCCCACCTGCCCGCGCATCCCCAGCCCAGCGCGCCTAAACCCTAGCGCCTCCCGCCCGCCCGCTCCGCCCCGCCCCTACACCCCTCCACGCCGGTCGGGGGGAAGCCTGGGGAGGCCGGCGCCTGCGGGTTTAAGGCAAGAACCCCATCTGTGGCCAGCGTGTTCTTAATAGAGTCATGGGATAAAATCACCATCAAGATAAAGAAAGCCAAAACAATACGGATGTTTTCTAAAAAGTCCCTAAGTTAACTTTCCGAGCCGCCCAGACCACCTGCTTAGCCCCCTACGGTTTTCATAGCTTGCGCTGCTGCACCTTTTGTGATGGAATCGCAGGATTCTTGTCCGTCGCAACTGATCAACTCAATTGCAAGTAGACGAGAGGACGACTTCTCTGGGTCTACGGCACATTATAACTGGCATCCGCGGTGTGTCCCCTTCTCCTAGATGATTCTGTGAGGGGAAGACGACGGACTCTGGAATTTTTCTAACAGGGTCGCTAACACACTAAGCGTTCGTTCACATTATGGAAATTCTGTACTGTTCATTTCACGTCCGTTTGTGAGGTTTGGTGTTTCCCAAAAGCGAAGGGTGAACGTTTTCTAAGACATTTAAATTAGCATTTAAAGTCAACCAAATTTAACTGTGGAAGAAGCCCCTCATTTACAAAGTGGTCTCAGTGAATTACGGTATATGACCCGCCCTCTACTTTTGTAAGTTTTCAAATGAGTTTGGAAAAATAAACAAAACCAGTAAAAATACCGCGGCTACCCCGCGAGCCACGCAGTCGTTATTTGATGGCTCCAAACATTTCTTTTTTTCACAAAAATAGTACTAAATATGTTTTTAATGAGTGACATGTCTGATGTTTGCATTTAAAAGCGGGGGCAGGGGGGTGAAGGAGAGGAGTGGGGGAGGGCGGCCGGGAGGTGAACGCAGTCACGTCAGTTCACAGTATTTTAAAATTCGGAAAATTAAACCACCCTCCCCTCCCCCCTCATTTACATGATAAAGATAGTTACGTGTTTTGGGGAAAATTATTGCCTTCTATTATCTCACATCTTTAAAAAATGAAATAATCAAAAGAATCAAATTTGAGGAGAAAAAAAGAGAGAGGGAGAAATCCAGAAGTATTTAACTAGCAAATTTGGTGCCACATTTCAAAAGTAACTGTGATTTATCTTTTCAGAAACCATGAAAGAATTATTGTCAATTACAAAGCTCATTATTTCGTTCAATCTCGAGGTAGATGCTGTAGAACGGAAAAACATTTGCTCTTTTATATATATATATATATATATGTGTGTGTCTAAATGTTTTCTTAATTTAGATAAGCCAGCTGCCCCCTTCCCCCCTTTCTAAATGGCCCCAAATGAAGTTTTTTGTTTTGCTATTTCTTTTTAGATGTTAATAAGTATGACAACTATTAACTTAGAAAGTTGAAAACGATTTTTATTAAATTATAATGTCCAAATTTAACATTTTTCTTAAGCATTTTCTTAAAAATCTAAATCAAAGGGAACAAGCCCAAAAGAAAAGTTGTGAACATAGATGAATTATAAAATTATAAAAATTTGAAGTCGGCCCTCTCTGGTGGCGCAAAGGGTTAAGACGCCACACTGCAAGCTAGCTGCAGCCACTAAAGTACGAGTTTGATCCCTGGCCCAGAGGTGATCCGCATGGCGCGGCAGACCTCTCCGGTCTCACCTGCTGCTCCCCTCAGCAGTGCACTTCATAGATTGGCCTGTTCTGCTCTCCATTCTGTCTCTGCTGAAGCTTCTCGCCGTCCCTGCACCTCTGGCTTGTAACCCAGTTCTGTATGAATAAATAAATAAATCTTTTTAAAAATCATTAAAAAAACTTTGAATTCATGTCCCAATTATTATTGATATTCTCAAAAATATAAACCTTCCCTTATTTTTTAGAACATTGTTTACCCATAAGTACTTTGCATTTTTGCAGGTTTTTAAAATCTAATTCTTATATGAATAGCTCCAAATTATTCTGAATTAGAGTCCATGTTTTCATATTGCTTCTTTGATTAAAGATTCAGCCTACTATATAGATAACTCCTTTCTTAACTAGATTATATCTTTCTGCGGATTTTCATTTTATTTAAAAATGACACCGCCACCTAGCGGCTCTAAGCCTCTATTACAGTTACATCCCGATAGGGATCCGTGAAGTAGACACACCCTCTAGGGGTGTTGGAAGTTACACTTTTCTATTTTAATCACAATTAGATAAGCTTAAAGCTATTTTATATCCCGTGTTCTGGGTTATTCAGTGTCAAAATTGATTTAATTTACCTTGTATCAGCTATGAAAAACTCTTAGGTGGAGGGGCCCTCCCTGGTGGCTCAGTGGGTTAAAGCTCAGCACTGGGAAGCTGGCCACAGTCCCTTCAGCCGGAACTCCATCCTGCCCAGGGAGCTGCAGACCTCTCCCATCTCGCCCGCTGCTCCCCTCAGCAGTATATTTCAGTCAGTCTGCCTGTTCTGCTCCCCGCTCTGTCTCTGGTGAATCCTCTCTCCATCCCTGCACATCTGGCCAGTACCCCAGTTCTGCATGCATAAACAAATAAATCTTTAAAGAAAAATAAACAAAACTCATAGGTGGAAATCACAAAACCTACCCTTATCTTCTTTCTATCTGGCTTTCTACCTCATACTACTGAAATTATATCTATCTTATTTCTTCTAGTAAGTGAAAGGCTCTTTGAAAATGAATTTTTGTATATAAATCAGTTTTTTAAATACCTTACCCACCATAGATTAAACAAATATAATTTTGAAAATGAAGAATTTTTTTGACTAAGTGAATGACTAGTTTCAAATGCTATGTTGGCATATAAATAAGCCCCTCCAAGTATATTAAACATACACAAACACACAGATGCCTTTACCGCAAGCCCCCAAACCAATCACCCAAAATAGGACTTAAGAAAAATTTCTCTAGAAACACACGCACACACACACACACACATGCGTTATTCAAATGTGGAGAAAAATGCCATCTCTGAAGGTAATTTACTAGGGCAATAGAAAGAACGTTTTAGAAAGTATCTGCTTTTTTTTTTCAATGCATATATAACAAAATTTGACCCTTACAAAACAAGAAATCAGAGAAAGATAAAAAACACACAGATAAACAGACATACACACAACAAATTCTGGTGCAAATGGAGCTGGCAAGGAACTAGAGAGGAATCAGAAAACAATACAAGAAAACTAAAATCTAATTAGAACAATGAGGGGAGACTAGCTCTGCACATAGGCCTTAATAAGAACATTTATTATTTCGGTGTTAAAAGAAAGATTAGTGAAGAAAAGACCCACAGCCTCAGTCCTCACTTGCTGTCAGAATTTTCCAGCTCCCACTGTTACAGAGCAACCCTGATATGAGATGTGTCACCCGGCTGTGTGTCCTCATCTGTGCCCTTAAGAGGGATTCATTCATATAAAAGACTCCACCGCAGGCATACACCAAAAGTTAGTGAAGTTTGGTCCTGGACTGGTTAAAGCAGATGAGGGTGAGAGACCCACAGGGAAGTTAACAATGTCAGCTTCAGGGCCCTCCCTGGTGGCACAGAGCATTAAAGCACTGCACTAAGAAGGTTAAGCCGCTTCCGCATGAGTTCGATCCCTGCCTGCCCTGGAGGTGACCACATGGCGCGGCAGACCTCTCCTGACCCGCCCGCTGCTCCCCTCAGCAGTGTACTTAGTCAGTTGACCTGTTCTGCTCCCCACTCTGTCCCTGGTGAATCCTCTCACCCTCCGCATCTCTGGCTTGTACCCCAGTTCTGTATGAATACATAACATTTTTTAAATCTAAAAAAAAAAAAACAATGTTAGCTTCCTTTTATCTTGATTTTAAGGACTCCACCTTTTCTTTGGGTCCCTGCTGAAAGGTGCTTTAGACTTGTGGTGGGCTTTTGGGCCTTCCTTTGGGCCAACTCTGGGTGGACTTACACCCACAAGGGGATGGGTAATAGTGAGTGCTTGACTTGGAAACAGTATTCTTTGTCTTTTCTGTATTGCACGCTAATTGTATACTGTTCTTTTCCATTAAACATCGTATATGTTTTATCTTGATGAGGCGGATGTCAGAACCTATGTAGAACGGGCACTTTTGGGGGCTCTGGAGTGCCCCTCTCCCTGCCCTGTCACAACCACCAACTGGTTATTTTAGAGCTCATCATATCGTTAGAGGCGGATGTGGAGCCTTTGTCCTCTCGCAGTCTGTACCGCAAGGCTGTGACTCTCACACGGAGCAGAACTCAGAGGGACCATTTATTTTCACAAATATTCTATATACCACGTCTAAGTGTTAGGGGGAAAATGAGGCAGTCCTCTCCCCTCCATAAAAACAAGCTTTCCTTCAATTTGGGGTTTGATTTCTATTTCAATAAGCTTTTATTTTCTTTCTATTTTTATTATATATTTTTTACATTCTTCTTCCATCTCAGTGGTAATCCTCATGGGTTTCCCACCACCAAATTCACCCATGTGCCATCACCACAGTCCAGTGCACTTTTCTCACTCCAGTTCTGATCCCATCCTCCCTCCCACCCCCATAAAATGTCTCTGGTTTATAGTTGTTCATTTTTACTCTATTACATTTGTTTGTCTCTCCCTTTTTATTATTTTCTTCCATGATTCCTTATACTCTGCTATGAGTGAAACCATCCAGCATTTTTCTTTTCCTTTCTGGCTTATTTCACTGAGCATGAT